CTGCCGAGCAGGTACATTTAAGTCTGCTGCAGCAGAACTCATAAACCACTTTTTTTTTTTTCCCAGGTGCTCTGTCCCGGGGAGTTAGGGCTTTATTTATGAGTTTCCGTTGTGCTGCTGCCTTTTTTCAGGGCTGCCCTGCCCAGCGAGGAGGCATCCTAGTTACTGTCTGCCTGCAGAGGCTTTGCTGAGCTGCTGTGGGCTCCACCCAGCTGCTGTGGGAACTTCCCTGCAGTCCTGTTTATACGGGTGTAGTTAGAACTGCCTTGGCAATGGCAGTGCACCTCTGTAATGGCAGGTTGCCTCGGCAATAGCGGGCTGCCTCTGCAATGGCGGACTACCTCCGTAGTGGTGGAGTGCCTTGGTAATGGTGGACACCCCTCCCCCACAGAGCTGGACCTTCCCAGGTTCAGCTGTGCTTGCTGTGAAACTCTCAATCCAGAGCATTTCCAATTGCTGTTTTTTTGTGGGTGTGGGACTAGCCGAGCCTGATCACCTGGCTCCCTGCCTCAGAGCCTTTTTTTTAGTTGAATGGTCAGCTCTCTCCCAGGTGTTCCAATTGCCTGTTAAAAAGGCACCAGGATCTGTGTGATTTCCCGTCTGGCAACCCACTGCACTGGCTGAAACAGCAGCACTGAGATTCGTGGTGCTTTTTTGCTCGGGAATCTCCTGGCCTGGCTCCCTGTTTCAGTCCCCTTTTCAATCAGATGAATGGGCGACTCTGCCTTCCCAGAGCTCCAAATACCAACTAAAACGGGCCCAATCCCGTGTATTTTGTACAGAGAACTGCCACACCAGGGCGCCCTCAAAACAGCTGCGTGAGCCAAAACAGCCACGGCGGCCAAACCAGCTGTGCTGGCGACCTGTGGGGCTCCTCTGCTTGGGAATCTCCTGGTCTGTGGGCAATAAAAATCCTTCTGGATATGCGGTGTCCACTCACCCTCTGCACTTTCACTGGGAGCTGCAATCCTGAGCTGCCCCTAATTGGCCATCTTGGATCCCTCCCAGATATTTAACTATACTAGTTAGTCCTGATCTTAATAAACAAAAACTAAACAGCTAATGAATACCCCTCATCCCATTCTCCCCCACAGAAAACACTTAGTTTTTCCTTAGCAGTCATACTGGGGATGGTTGTGTTTTCTGTGGAAGATTTTATAACTTGCAGTGCAAATAATACAAATATTCCTTGTTTACTTCATGAAGTGTCACAGCTAAAAAAAGCAAGAACTGTGTGTTTTGAACCCTCACTGGAATCCTCCCTGTCACTTTGATTTTATGGTTATGCCATCCATATGAATTTTATATGTTGTCAAAATCAACAAGAAATGTAAGTGCACATGCCTTGAAGCACTCTTCATGTTTCTTTCTACCAGTCATTTCCAAGGGCTTCGTGAGACAGAGTCAGTAATTACCCAGACAGACTTTAGGTGTTAAATATTTTTCAAACAAACCCAGTTAATGGCATCAGTAATAAAGAGCAGGGAAACAAAGAGATTATAGTTTTTCATTCCAACCTGACACCCTCAGGAGAACAGAGAGCACAAGGCAAACCCATAAGTGTTTGTATACTCCCTGAGCTGTACAGGCAAAGTTCACAGGAAGCAGTTAAAGATGCAGCAACTAAACCCAGCATTTAACTGGGTTTCTTTGGAATCTTGCTGTTTTAGGCAATTAAAAGCCTGGTGGAAGATATATCATTACTACTCAATCTTGATGTTTATAATAGAGTTCGATTTTTAAGGTAGATCCTCTACTAGGTGTGCCTCAACAAAAATCTTACAAAGAAAACCTTCCTGCAGGAACTGTATACGACTCAGCTGGTTAATCTCAGAGGTGCCGTCGCTGCTCACTGCCATGTAAGCAATTAGATTCCCTGCTGTACTGAGCCTCCCCAGGGACCTTTAGGGATAGGGAGGAACCCAGGAAAGACTCTCCACTACTTGTGAAATGGAGACAAAGAATGCTGTGGCATGATTGCAGCAGACCATAGGTTTATACCGAGGACTAACTTGCATATAAGCCAATGATGCTTCATGCTTTGAAGAAGATGAGAGAGACAGTCTGCCAGATGCCACAGTGGAGAAACCTCTGCCCTAAATGCATGTGCCAGAGACCTTCCTAGAGAGTCATTTTAGCCACTCCATTTCTGCTATCCTTCAACTCAGCTCCTGTGCCACCTCATAAATGAAGCTGACACCATATCCTGTAGTCAAAGACATTCTTTCCCTCCTCTGGTTTCACTTATACTGCTTACCTGTCTGCACTGACCATAACACTTCTGCCTTGTGTCTTGTGCAGTTGTATTCATATCTGTCTCTCCCACTAGTTTGTATTTCCCAAAGGGAAAGGTCTAAGACTGTTGTACTTTTGTATTTCCTATCTTAGGTACTCATTAATAATTATAACAAAATGATACTTATTGAGCTATTTTTTAACTTGAGACAGAGTCTTCCTCTGTCATCCAGGCTGCAGTACAGTGGCACAATCATTTTTCAGTGAAGCCTCTAACTCCTGGGCACATGCCACCATGCCCAGCCAATTTTTAAATTTTTATAGAGATAGGATCTCACTGTGGTGCCCAGGCTGGTCTTGAACTCCTAGACTCAAACAGTTCTCCTACCTTGGTCTCCCAACATGCTGAGATTACAAGTGTGAGACACCACCCCTTAGCCCTTGTGTACTTATACGTTGGGCACATTGCATATATAGTATCATTTCTTATAATTCTGTAGCGTGATAGATAAAGAGCATGGGCTTTGCAGCAAGACCAGCTGTGTTGAAAGCCTTCCTCCTTCTGCAGTCTGCCAAATAACCTTGAAACAGGCAGAATCCCAGTGGTTTTCTGATTTATAGCCTCAGCTCTATTCTATCTCCATAGAAGCCCCATAGATTTAATTGAATTAGACCCATTAGCTTAAAGACCAAACTCATTCCTCTTTATCACTAAATAATCCTAAGGCAGCCCCCATTAACTTGTGACTTAACGTATTCAGGTTTTTAGACAAAGAGAGTGATTTTGCTAATCATATGAATAATATTAATTTTTACATTTCTTTAATATTTTGCCATTTTTACAGTTCTTTCATGTAAATTACCTTTACTGATCTTCATACCATTCTTGTAAGGTGGGCAGGATAGCTGCCCTGTTCCCACTTTACTGAGAAGTACAATGAAGAAAGAGAAGCAAAATGACTTGAAATTTATTTCATAGCCAGACAGTGGCAGAGCTGCAACTGAATACAAGATATAAATTCATTGACAGGCTTCCTGCCTCTATCTTGCTTTGTTCCTCAGCAACACACATGTGTATATGCACAGACTCACTAGCAGGCACCAAGAACCAGGTGTTGAGCTAGTGCTTCCACAGTTCAGGCTGTCTAGTAACCATAGCAATTGCCGCTGTCCTCCTGGCAAGTGAGATCACCCAGCACACACTTGCTCCAAGATTTGAGTTACAAGAGATGAGGCATTTTCCACTGAGGGCCATTAAGTTTGGAATTCCCTTGTCTTGGTCCCTAAAGTATTCATCTTCTGGGTTCTTGCAAACCATATCAAGTTGAGTTAGCCAGTCATGATTGGCAAGAAATTCTAACAGGCAGGAGGAAGGTGCTAAACTGACTTCTACATGTGAGCAATTTGCAATTTTGTGGGTGGATTATTTTTCCCTAGGTATCCTTTAGGATAGCTACCCAGGCATACATTATTCTCATTCTTTAAAAATGCATTTACAGTTCATAGTCTGCATGGTTTTGTTTCTGTGTTCTTACATCATGTCACAAATGATGTGACGGAGAAACCTATAGGGAAGTTTTTGTTTCTTTTGCATAAACTATTCTGCAGTAATTGATCAGCCATAGAGAAAAGATTATCTGCTATGCACTCAAAGCAAGTTCTCTGGTCACTAGAGACCAATAAGCTGTGTCCCTAGAACTATTATCACTTTGTTGAAGAAGCTGCTATGTGAACAAAAAACATCCTTCACTAATTTCCCTTTTTGTATTTAAAAAACCTTGTCAACATTTTCCCTTTGGGAATCTACAATTTGTCGATAGTGCATATTATTTTAGTTCTAAGGAGGACAAATGTAGGGCAGTATGTCCTTATTAAGATCTCTCATTCATTGATCTTCATGCCAAATAAAGTAAAATGCTTCACATCTTTACTGTATTATAGCATATTTTTTTTTCATTTCATAGAAATATAAATATTTAGATGTGTAAACCACTTTTGAGACTAATTTGAATTCTACGTCCTCCACCTCACCCTAGTCCATTTAACTGATGGTGAAAGGCTGGGAAGTAAGGTGGTCAAACTGAGCCTGCATTCTCCTCAGTGATGCAATCAGGATATACATTCTGAGTCTAGTGCTGTCTTCCATTGTACCCTGCAGTGTGTATCTGTTTTCTCTCCATAACTGTTATGTAAACTTTGGGAACCAGGGATGATCCTTATATATGCCAATTAGAACTGCCTGGCAAATGCTTGTTAACTAATGTCAGCCATTGTGTCATAGTTATAAGAGCCCACATGTTACACCTCTGTTTCATTATCTGTTCTTTAATATTCAACCTCCTGTGTAGATGTAGAAAAAGTTAAAAATAAAAAGTAATATATGATAGAAAGGAATCTGATTAAGCTTGCCTGCCATTGTTTCTTAGCATCCACATTGAAGCTGAAAAATGTTTTAAGGAGAAATCTTGTGGACCTAAAGTTATTTATGAATGATTTCAATGGTCTCATATATATAGTGATTAGATTCCAATGACACATTATTATTTTTTTATTGTGTATTATTTCCAGCCATAATAAAGGAAAGGATGGTAGAGTTCATGTTTAGAATGAAAGAGTAAACATCACAAGTTAGTCTGACCTCAGCTGTCAGTTTATTCATTGTGGATTTTTGTGCCATGGAAGAAATTTGTTCAGCGATTGTTTGCTCTGCTATTAGTTTGTATTCACAGTAACATTCTAGATACTCACTATAAACTGAATTATAGTTTGTTTCAGTGTTGGAAGGCGTGTTGTCTAAGCTGTCAAGGTATGATGAAGGCACTTTCTTTTCATCCATTCTGTCATTCACTGTAAGTATTTGAATGAGTTCTCTTCTGTGGTCTTTTAACTATTGTCGTACTACTTATATAGCAGTTAAAAAAAGTAATTCTTATAATTATCTCTTTCTTTCCCACTTAAGGTGAAAGCAGCTGCAAAATACGTTGATGTTCCAGTAAGTATTTTTTAAACTATATGTAATTCTTTAAAAAAATCAATAATTACAGTTCATCATGGGTTTATTTCAAATCTTTAAACCAGTGCCATTTTCTTAGGGAGTAGTTTATTTTCCTTAAGCTAGCGCTAACCTTCATAATAAGGCTTAGCAAGGTTATTTCAGTGACTTTTTCTGTTGTAACTCAGAAACTTGTACGGAGGTCATTTCATCATAAGAACATGTCACCTGAGTTGCAGAGGAAAGTTACAGCACTCTAGGATGGAATAGAAAATGCCTCACACTATTTATAGAAAAACTGCTCGCTTTTCCTCTCCTATATATGAAAGCTGTAACAGGTTTCTTACAGAAGGTAAAATAATGATAAAGATGAGCCAGTTAAATAATTGGTTTTCTAAATATAAAAGTGTTCTATAAATCAATAGTCTCTCATTTTAACATTTAGCTTTTCATAGAATTATTGGGAAATAGCTCATAAATTTGTTCCAAAATTAAGATTCCATGAGCAGAAATCATGAAACTGACTTAGCTGCAATGAGAACATTCACATGGTAAATATAACCAACAAGTTGTGCAGCATTTTTAAGCTGATCATCATACCAAATTAGTTTTTTATTTAAATTCTATTATCACATATATGATCAAGGTCTAAGGTGTTCTGTTTAATCATTTATTTTGACATATATATCAATTTTCAAAGACTTAGAGAACAATGAAAAAATTAAGATTTCAAACTAGATGGAATATGGATTTGCTGTTTGTATCTGAAGAAGATCATATCTCTACATTGCCATTATAAATGATAGCAGTTTTGAGTACTGGCAAGCTTTATATATTAATTGTAAAGAGTGCTTATTTTTAGGATGTGTATACCACATTTTGTCTCTGGCTTTATTGCTGCTGTAGTTATAAATGAATATTTAAATGAGAAGGCTCTGGACTTTTCTAGTTTTACATGGGATTTTTTGGAACCGGACTTTTCATTTGTTAAGTGATTCCCAAGGAAGTCTTCACATCCTCCTCATCTTGTACCTAGAATCAAGGAATCAGTGCTGGACAATAAGTAGAAAAAAATCACATGTGTAGAGTCCCACAAAGCAGCAGCATGAAAGGGAGAATTAAGGGGAGATTTTATATTTGATATCTCAAAAAGAAAGAGACAAATAATCTTGTATACATCTGAACTTCATTGGCCTTCCTAACAGGTGTCTTACAGTTTTTGTTTGATTTTGAATTGCAGATGGACTGTGACATCAAAATTATTAATATTCTTAGAGACTTTGAGGTTTTTAATTGACCCTGTACTAGTTTATTCTCTCCAGAGAATTTCAGAGTTGAAGGAGACAGAAAATGGTTCATTTACTTTCCTTCTCAGTGCAAGTAACCCCTCCTCTAATATCCCTTACAAAGATTCATGAGGGTTCTGTTTATTTATTTCAGTAGTTACCAGATCACTATATGGCAGCCTACTCTTAAGTATTATAAGTTGAAATTCTGTGTCTTTGTGAACTGTACCCATTAATCCTGGTTCTAATCTTTCTCTTCTGCCTGGTAGCTCTTTGCATACTCGATGACAATTTTCGTGCCTCCTCTTTCCAAGAGGTGTGGTAGCTATTCACAGGCATATATCAAGAGAGGAATGAATGTTTATTTTCTAGATTAAACATTCTCAATTTATTCACTAAACCCACTAATTAAATATTTATTTAGCTCATAACAAGTGCTAGGTCCTGGATATGCATGATGAAATATACATTTCTTGCCCTCAAATGGTTCACAATCTTAAAGACAAAACAGACGAAAAACAGACATGACATCATGCACACTGCTGTGGCAATCATACCCAGACTCTTCATCATGGCAATTACTACCCTAGAGGAGTTCTAGCTTATCAATGTCACCATTAAATCAAGTTGCCCTATAGAGCAGAACATACTATACCATAAATGTGGTTTGACCATGCCAGATTACAAAATGATGAGTTTCTCCCCAGTTGTGAACATACCACTTCTATTGTTCATGCCTGTGAATGTTAACTGTATAAGCTATGAGGTCTTATTGGCCATTATTCTTTTTTATGCTCAAACTCAAGCAAATATGCCTCTCTGAAGTTGTCTCTTAAGGAGAGTCTCATGAGAAAAAGAGTGCTGGCTCACCTTTCACAAAAATTAACTGAAAACAGATCCTAGACCCAGATACAATGCAGAAGAACTATACAACTTCAAGAAGAAAATATGAGATAAAATATATATGGCCTTGGACTTGGGGATGAGTTTTTAGATACAACCCCACATAATCCTTGAAAGGAAATAAAAATGGATAAATTGGATTTAAAAATTGCTAAGTGTACTCTTATTCACGGTTAAGAGAATGAAAAGATAAGCCACAAATGGTAAGAAATATTTGCAAAACACATATCTGATAAAGGACTTGAATCCAAAGTGTTCTAAGAACTGTTAATATTCAACAATATGAAAACAAACAATAAAACTTTTTTAATAGGCCTAAGATCCAAAGACATTGCAGCAAAAAAGATATGCAGATGCCAAGTAAGCTTATGAAAAAATGCTCAATATTATTTGTCATTAAGAAAATGCAAATTAAAAGAAGATACCACTGCACTCTTATTAGAATGGCAGAAACCCAGAATAAACTACAGCAGCAAAATGTTGACAAGGATAAGAGAGCAACAAGTACTCTCATTCATTGCTGGTAGGAATGGTACAGCTACTTTGGAAAACTGTTTGCCAGTTTCTTTTTAAGCCAATTTAAAGAGGCTGCAAACTGTATGATCCCATTTATATCACATTCTAGAAAAGGTAAAACTATAAAGACTATAAACAGATTAGTGGTTGTCATGAGTTCAAGGTTAGGGAAGGTTGAATTGTTCAAGTATAGGGAATTTTTCTTTTTTTTTTTTTTTTTTTGAGCAGAGCACCTGTTCTGTATGATATTGTAATGGTAGATACATGACACTGTGCACTTCTCAAAACCAAACTTTATAGCAAAAAAAAAAAAAAAAACCTGAATATATTCAATCATTTAAAAATCAATTAAGTGATCATAGAATCCCAGGATGGAAAGTAAACTATAATAAAATAATTCTGTTGTGAATGTATGAGATAATCTCACTGAAAGAGGAGTGGGGAAAGCACTGATCTTAGTAACTTTGGAACTTAGTGGAGTCTGTAAAATAAGGGAAAATGAAACTAATAAATAAGCATTATACTCTGGTTGATAAAGTTTTTCTCCACAGTTTAACAATTCTGAAGCCATGGTACATGTATATTGGAATTGAACAATTAAGTAAATGGATGACAGTTGATAGGAGCCAGGTTTCTCACTGCGGGAGTGAGGTTAGAGGCAAGCAAAGGAAGGGGGCTAGAATGATCCTGTAATAGATCAGAGTTGGAGATATCAGTGTGAACTTATCATTAGCTTTATACGGTTGGAGCTGGTTACATTTGACAACATTTTTAGATGTATGTATATGCATGTATTAATGTGCTCACATACATTTTCTTGCTCTTTTAACTCGGAGGGCCTAGAAGCAGTGATACCCCAGTAGCAACAAGCCCACACATCACTCAGATATTGTTCTATAATATTTAATGAAATAAACCAGGGCTCCTTGGAGAAATGGCTGATTCTGGAAAATACACAGAATGAACGTGGAGCATCTTGTAGTAACAGAAAGTAAGGAGATATTCACAAAATACACAATGATTGCAGGTGTGTCAGAGAGACACAGCAGATAATGGAAAGATCTCCCAGTGGCCTAAGCTAGGACAATTTGATCAAATACATAAAGTAATACTGGATTATAACTCAAAGTATAAAATAAATACCAATTAGTCCATACTGATACAAATAAATATTGAAGTACATAAATGGGGAGAAAAGACAGCTCTCTCATGCAGAAGAATTCCAAATAATTAATATAGATATTTCCCTTTCAAGAAGGTGGAGCATATATCCTCACTCCTTAAGTGAGGGAGATACATAGTAACTTCCTTCTGAAGAGTACCATATGCAAAGGAAAATAGGGAGAAGAAATTTACAATGGAGAAATATGAGAAATATTACCCCAGCCAGTTGATCAAAGGTCAACATCCGCAGTGATAAATTATATTGATAATATCAGCCTTTGATAGGATGTGATGAAAATGGTACTTTATGGTCTTCCTCTAAAAAACTTGTAACTACAGTCTAATTATGAAAAAAAATCAGACACATCTCAATAGATGATATACTACAAAATATGCGAGAGTACTCCTTAGAATTTTCAAGGTCATCATTAAGAAGGAAAGTCTGAGAAAGTGACAAGACCAAGAGTAGTCCAAGGAGACCTAATTATTAAATGTAACGTGATTTCCTGATTTACATCATGGAACAGAAAAAGGATATTGGGTGAAAACGAAGGGAAACTGAATAAAGTGCACACTTCAGTTAATAATAGTGTGTCAATATATGCTCATTAATTGTAGCAAATGTACCATACTCAGGTAAGATGATAATAATAGGGGATATTGGGTGTGGGTTATATGGAAACTCTATAATATTTCCACAGTGCTTCTGTAAATCTAAAATTTTCTAAAATAATGTGTTTATTAAAAAAAAAAAAAAAAGAGCACTGACCAAGGACTAAATAATACTTTACTTCAGCTGATTTTATGTGGCTATGTGCCCTTGAAACTGTATGACCTTGGGCATTACTTAAATGGCCCCAGTCTAGTCATCGATAAAATTAGTGAATATGCTATGTAACTGCCTTAGTTTTTTTTAACTGTAACATTCTGTCCCCTTCTGAGTTCCCGTCCAATTCTATGAGACAACAGAGCCCAAAACTGCCCCCTGTAAGGCAATACCTTCTTATAATACTGTTACTTATCAGAATTTGTTTTGTTTTTGTTTTTTTGTTTGGTTGTTTTGTGTGTGTGTGTGTGTGTGTGTGTGTGTGTGTGTGTGGTGTGGTTTGTTTTTTGTTTCATTTTGTTTTG